GACGGACCTTGACTGGAACACGTGAATATTCTGCACAAACTCGAGGCTAACCCTGTGCAAATGAGTCTGTAATCAAGAGATACAGCGGTAATTTGGAATTCGAAACGGTTCTATTAATGTGCTGGAAAAAATAATAGCCAACGAATTAATGGGTTTACTTACTAACAAATAAAACAGCTTTTTCCGTGCTCCCTTCAGTAATAAAGCAAGTAGGAAGTGATTTAAGCATGAAAGAAGTGTAAGGAGAAGCACGAGCCGTATATGCGAGTGCTTCTCACACTTCTTGAGTGCTTACGGCGCTTTCTAAGCGTCTTTCTTTTTGCGTAAATAACATAGTGTATATGTCCATACCCAAATTTGTTATCATAGGATCCATCTTCAATAAAAGCTTTGTGAAGTCCCTCAGGAGTTCCCTTGCGGCAATACGTCTGTCGTCAAAAAAAAAAAAAAAAAAAAAAAGAAGAGAGATTTCAAAATGGATATAATTAAACAAAGAAATAATACTCTTGGGAATGATATGTGGTCTGAACTGAGGCCCCGTCCACACTGTGCCGGACAATTTTGAAGTTTTATTTATTCGGTTAGGCCTACCGTCCACACTAGTCCGGACGAATCCGGAACAATTCTTCCCGAAAACGAATTTTTTCAAATACCGTCTCCAGAGTGGAACAATTTAAAAACGCCGGCTAGCCGTATTAGTGTGGACGGAGAACATTTCGTATCCRAAAATTTCGAATACCATGACGTCATGATTGTCATGGGAACATGGCGGGAAGGCTAAAAATTCACCGCAGCACCTCAATTTCAGCTTCGATGCACATGCTCACATGTGAAATGAAGCGTTTTTACCGCCTCTGATCGGACTAGTGTGGACGCGAAACATTTTATCCGTTTTCATGTGTGGATGGAAAACGTTTTTTCGGTTTCGGTGTGAAAGTTCAAATTTATTCAAATTTATCCGGCATAGTGTGGACGGGGCCTGAGAAAACATTACGTCCAAGGAAAAGAGGTGTAATGCTTGGAAAAATACGTTTACGTTTTGACTAATTCGCAAATTAGCATGAGCAAATTGTCATGTTAAATCTCCATCATATATTTAAGGTAAGTGTGTTAGTTATTGTTTTTCTTTTGGTTTTTAAAGATAATATTAGTACTGACTATATTAAAAACACCCAAGGTAAAGAGGTCTATTGACCCTGAACAGGAGTGATTTCATTTCTCGTGCTTACCTGAGCAAACGCTGTATAGAACAGCTGCTCGTTTGTTAGAGCGAGCTTTGGTAGCAACCATGTTTCCCTGGGATTTCGTTGTGCCCAATCATGATATGCCTGATAAAGATACATAAATTCAGAAAAACAAAAACAAAAAAACAAACCGACCGATCGAGCTCTTACATTGATATTTCATGTGAAATCAAAGTAAAGTGCAATTAATGGTTCCGACTTTACTCACTAAGCTACCATTGCTGTGTGCCACAAGCACATTAGCTAGAATATCTCTGAATGTTAAATTCTATACTAATTGATTAAATTAACTTGTCTCAATTGTTTACTGTGCAGAAGAAAAGAAAACTGCCTCATAATCCTTGTAGTACACAGATACCAAGAGAAAATGAACTAAGAGAAGGAATCTCTGGTATTCATGCTTATAACCATCATAGGCACCATTTGATGCTATTTTTAGAATCAAATTTGCCATAGTTTGTTTTCGTTCACGCGTATACTGCGCGCGCTCTACTCTATTTGCTTACGTTTTAGTTTGAAAAACAAAAAAACAAAAAACAAACAAAAACAAACAAAACAAAACAAACAAAAAAACACAACAAAAACAACAACAACAACAAAAAGAAAACGACAACAACAAAAATAAAATAAAATAAAATAATAAAAATAAAAAAAACGAAAAAAAAAAAACAAAACAAAAAAACATGAGAAAACAGGGTAGAGCGCGCGCAGTATGCGTGTGTAGAAAAACAAACGATCAAAAATATGATTCTAAAAATAGAAAAAAAGATTCTAAAAATAGCGTCAAAGGGGCGCGTGGATTCTTTGTCTTAGTTCATATTCTCTTGCATATAATGTTTAGTTAGGGATGGACCATTAGATAATTGATGGGGGGGGGGGGGGTTTGCAGGAATTTTGGTTGTATGATCTTTATTTTTTTGACTCAGCCTTGCACGTTATTTTTTGCCTACAGTTAGATATTTTTTTATTCTAGCAGAAGAAAAATATCTGCCTTTGATTCTGATGTTGCGTGTAAACAACTAGACAGCCATCACCATTTTCTCGTGGGAATGAGAACTTATGTTGAAAGGCTATTGTTTTCTGCTGGTTTCTGAATGGTTCCCGACTTCCCAAAGTTGGAATGTATTGTTTTTATTCTACATTTTGATTGGTTCTCGCTGTCTAAGTGGCCCCGGTTATAGTAGTTGTACTGTAATTCCATTGGGAAAATAAAGCTGATGCAACGGTGATTGGTTTGCAGGTTATTGATTCGGAACACCACATCTCCTTATGTATTTTTAAATGAGCACATTAGCTTTACACGTTGAGTTTGTATCGATTCATTAGCACAACTGATGCATGACGAAACTAACAACAATATACAAAATTAAATTAAACATCTAGAAAGACTCTTTCTGATCTCTCAAGTGGATGTTAGAGTATTGCATAAGCTTCCAGCTCAAGTTTAGGAATTATCCAAATGAAACAAAAGAAATTTGATCATTTTTGTTCAAGAGTGTAAGTCAGGGACGATTTAGCCGGGGGGATAGGGGATTGTAAGTTTAAATGATTATCATGGTAAAAGAACCTGTTGAATTATTCGTACAAGAGTAGGGGATTGTCTCCCGGTTCAACAGCCTATCCCAATCTGGAGGCATTAATAATAACTTACTAACAAATCACTCATGATTGTAAGCTGCACGGCTGCTACTAGCGCCATAATATGCAGCCCGTAAAGTCCTCCACTGGTCATGATTGTTAAGCGCATTGAGACCATGTAAAATGCGCTATATAAGAACCCCGTTATTATTATTATTATTATTATTATTATTATTATTATTATTATTATAGTCATGCGTAAAAAGAACACAGAGAACGATGAAACGGAAGACCCCAAAGGCTTTGCGGTGTTACCGTATGTGAAAGGAACTACTGAGAAGATCACTAGAATTCTTTCACGCCATAACATCAGATGTTGCATGAGACCAGAAAGAACTCTGCGGAATGTCATATCTAGACAAAAAAGACCAGGTCCCCCAGGAGAAGCAAGTTGGAGTAATTTATTCCATTCCTTGCGATGAATGTAGTATCAAATACATCGGGGAAACAAGCAGAGCTCTTGGAACTAGGTGCAAAGAACATCAGGCGGCTGTGCGTCTGAACAAGGCAGAAAGATCAGCCTTAGCCCAGCATGCACATGAAACGGGGCACTCAATCAAATGGGATAACATTTCAATCGTTAAAAAAGAACAAAGATGGAACCAAAGAAAGTGGCTGGAAGCATGTGAGATATCAAAGCAGAAGAACATTATTTTTAATAGAGACAGTGGCAGAGTTCTGCCAGCAAATTACATAAATCTTTTGTGATTTTCAATGCTCGTGCTTTCAGGTTTTTGCGCGCGATTCTTTTGCTCGCGCATATGTACAACGTTTGATCGCGTATGTTTCGTTAATATTGTAACGTATTTTAGTTCCTCTGAGGATGACAGTGTCGATCGAAAGCTAAGGAAAATATAAAATTATTTTTAWAGGTTGATGAGTCAATTTGATTTTCATAATATGACGTTAATATTATTATTTCAATTAATGAAATAATCTTAATTTTTTATTTATTAAAATAACATTAATTGATTAATCAAAATTAATCAATAATTAATTAAATTAACCAATAAAGCTGAAATTGATGTCATTAATTTTTGTGACGTGTGATCGTCCGTGTGAGTGTAGTCTTGAGAAAGACTGTCGTTGATGGTGACTATGTCATTAACTAATCTTATTTATACAGCTTCTCATTAATCAAATATAGGTAACTGTCCAATTATTTTCTTAATTGGACAAGCCTTGTTGATATAATGGGATTAACTAGGCAGCCATGTAATTAATAGGTAATTGGATTCAATGCTCCCCAATCAAGAAATAATTAGACTCGAAAAATTCCTGTGACTGCCAAATTGGACTCGGCTTACGGCCTCATCCAATTTTGTCAGTCCTCGGAATTTTCCTCGACCAATTATTTCTTAATTGGACAGCACGGAGTCCTATTACATATACTTATTGATATACATATGTTTATTAATTGTATTTATAGGCATTTTTTCATGTATTCATCCTGTGCATTCGAACCCAATAAAAGTGTATCTTTATTATTAGAGTTATTTGTATACTGCTCTTTCCTTGTTGGCCGCTTTTAAACCACCGTTTTCTATGATATTATATTCGAAAGTGTAGTTGCCGTTGACCTTATTAGAGTTATTTGTATACTGCTCTTACCTTATTGGCCGCTTTTAAACCACCGTTTTCTACGATATTATATTCGAAAGTGTAGTTGCCGTTGACCTTAAAAAAGCCAGAAAGAAAAGTCAGGGGAACGTGGTCATAGGACCCTATAGATACGACCCTGACATACCTGCCATCTTCCGAACAATTTGTACTGGGAGTACTGCCTGGCAAAACACCGTCCCTTGATCTCAATATTCCGTAGTGATCTCATTGACCACCCCTGACCAGTCGAGAAGCGTTGTCCATTCTTGTCATGTTTCCTTCCTGAAAAATATAGTATCCTTGTAGTTTTTCTTTTGCGCTGATTGGTCGAAAGCTGTGCTTTATTAGTGAAAGGAGCACAGTGCTGACGCCATCCGCGCGATGTGACCGTCATTCTTTTCGCGTAAATAATTTCAATGCCGAAATAAAATTAATAACTATGTATATAAAAAAAAACTAAAACAGTTTTTGGTGCTCCGTTAAGTAATAAACCACTTAGGAAGAGACGTAAGTACCCAAGAAGTGTGAGAAGCACTCGCTTACGGCTCGCGCTTCCTTTTACACGTCTTTCTTGCTTGCGCCACTTCCCGTGTGCTTTATTACTGAACGGAGCACGGAAAAAGCTGTTTTATTTATTAAATACAAATCAGTATCTACACTGAGATGACCCTAAGGAAAACTGTTGTATTTTGGGTAGTTGGGAGTTATTAAAGGCATGTAATCCGTGTTATTTTTTCTTCGGTGCTTGCACTCTCTGAGGATAAACTCTTACCATCGGGACCAAAGCCATAACTGATTTGTAGCCCAATTTTAGCACCAAGGGCGCCAAAATTAAATGCCCTGCAAAAGAAAAGGTCACGAGTGTAAAAAAACTGCACTCATTTATTTAGGGATTATCTAAAGCCATTCAAATAGCTCAGTTCTACAAAACGTTTCTGTATTTGGTTGCTTTCAAGGCACGATCGCTTGCGGAATTGATTGGGTATTAACCAATCTTCTTTAGGGAGCCAGCTACGCATAGCTTTTCACACTATATTCACTATCTTCTTCATACCTTAGGAATCCATTTTCATAAAAGTAAGGTGGTTCCAGGCTGGCTAACGGCTGAACTACAACAGAGGTAAAAAATACACAACTGATTACGAACAAAGTAACAGAAAAAGTGTTCAGTTTATGGAAAAGACTAAATTTTAACGTTATTAATTTAATCAAGTAAAAAAACAATTTTTGGATGAGGTTTTGATGATAGACGGATTTATCAATGTCGATGAGGTAGGTGTTATTGGCCGAAACCGTAGGCTAAATAGTCTCTTAGACCTTTACATTTTAATACCTTGGACAATTATTCACATGTCTCTAACATTGCAAGCTAATCGTTCGCTCGCTTTGATTCACGGCACGGCTAACTTTCAAGATGGCGCCTGGAACTGTGAATTTTACCTTATGTGTCTTGAAAGTTACATAAGTGACCAAGAGCAGTTTTCTTATGACTGTGCACGAACACGGTCGTGACTGTACTCTTTATCCAATTACATTCCCGGAACACGGCATTAACACGGCGCGGACTCGGTCTCACCAAGGTCACGGCAATGTCAGACCACATTGCGCGAGAATAAAATCAGCCAATTAAAATTCTAGAAAACATCACGGTCACGACACGGCTCGTTATTATAGCACTGTCATGCGAAAACTGTTGTAACATTCTTTAAGTACTCACTTAGCAAATTATAATCAACCAAATAAAAAGGCCCATCTTCACCCTCGTGAGCAAACACTGACCACCTGAGAAATGTTTAAAACACAGTGAAAAAATTGTGCGACTTCAGTAAATTTTACGAATTACGATGCGCTATTTTATTAAGAATCTGAGTTATCAAATAGTGCAATATATGCCATCCATCCATCTATCCATCCATGTGTTATTTAGCATTAATAAGCAATTTTTGGATGAGGTTGAGAATGATATCGTAAATTATCAAGACCGAGGCTGTGTTATCTGCCGAAGCCGAGGGCAAAATCCTTATAATTCAGAAATATTTCGAGAATTCTTCATAAAATATATGAAAAGTTAAGGATTCCTTAAATAATTGTTTTTGTACATAATTCTGGAAATAAATACATATAATGAATAAAAACAAAGCTACCACAGTGTGACCTTGAATGAACTTGACATGATAAATGTATTATCTGTAGGAAAACCTACAGACAATACATTTATCATGTCAAGTTCACATGATATCAGGGATTGGCTGAGGGCTCTCGACCAATCAGAATTGAGATACTTAGTATAATGTATAATAATATATCTTGTACTTGCCTATCAATGACACCAGGTTGCCTAAATTTCATCAACATTTGTTGGTGATTGAACTTTGATGTGACTATTTTGTTTTTGAAATATTCATCTTTTTTGAGGGTGAGCTGTGAGGAGACAGAGAAGTAAAGTTGTACTATTTATAGTTAAGAGATCTTTTCTGTGTGATACGATCGTGAAGTAAGGAAAAGATCATGACAAGTTGTACTTACACTATTGTATTTCTGAAATATCTGATTAACTTTGGCAGGGCTTGAAAGATAGTCAGGAAAGCCAATTTCGTTTTTCATTTTGTCAACCTGGATAAAAAAATGGATAGATAAATATACAAAGCAGATTGCGCAATAATCATCACACTCATAAGAGGCGCATTTGCCATAGCATATCCACTGCAAGCTATCCTTTTTTGGTCCACTCTACTATGGCGTTTTACATATATCATAGAAAACGAGAACCCCGAAGGAGTCCATTATTTTTCAACACGAGAAGATAAACTTCATATCTTCAAGCCAACGTGTAATTTTCTTTTTATCATATAGACAAATCCACTAAGAAAAACTACGCTAGTTTATCAAAACAGGTTCCGGAAAACATCGCAAGTGACGTCATCGATATCCTCACTAGTGAAGATATGGAAAATATGTTACTCAGGTCCCGAAAACACTCATGTCTATATGATAAATTTTATTATGTGCTTAAGCCAAGTACCTTTTCAGTCATTTTCCTTCTAGTGTCGGTATCAAGCCAGGTCAGTGAGTTTATGTTTTCTTTAATGGCTTGGCGTATATCATTTGTCAGTTGTTTTACCTAAACCAATTAGATCAAGAACATAACGAATTAAATCAGAATGACACACGACCGCACGGATGGGTGAACGAGAGAAAACCAAACGAAAATTAAAAATATATAAAAAATAAAAAATAAAAAATGAGTGAACGAATGAACGAACAAGAACAAGCTAATCCACAGTCCTGGAATTTAGAGGATTTTAAAACAGAGGCATTAACAACTTCACATTTTGTATGGAATAATATTCTTCCTAATGACTAATATGAAACACAGGTACCAAGTGTACCCCAGCTTACCATATTTTCGATCTTTTTCTTCTTCTTGCCATAAATTGTGATGTATGCAGCTTCTAATATGTCGTTAAAGTTCAATTCAGCTTCATCGAGACAATTTAGCCTGTGTTTGGCTGTAGAAATGGCTGTTTCATTAATGAAGCTTGAATATGCCCGCCTGTAAGGCGTGGACAGATAAGCCACCTCCTTCTTGATCACGTGCCATACCAGGTAATTGGATAAAACACTGTGGGAGTAAACAGATATTTGTGATTTTGTCTTGATTTGTTTTGTTTTGTTGTTATTTTTTTGCATGTTTTTTTTTTGCATGTCCTTATTTCCGTACATGTCTCTTTATGGAGAAGAAAGTCAGTAGCAGCAGGATGGAATGCTTTGCAAGCCACGGGCGGTTGCATTTTGGACAGATGGACTTCCCTGTGCGAGGATCGTCCTGGTCATAGACGAGCTGCAGAGCATGGTGATAGTACTAGATAGTATGTTGAATTTTTCAGAGTGATTCTCTTTGTGAAATCATGATTTTTTGGTCGTCCAATTGCTAGACATCACAACTTTCGAAATCTACCTTAGCATTCGTTGCCAAATTTTCTCAAATCTCACGGAAATCTGCGCATCCGCTATTCATTAATTTTCTAATTATTCAATGGTATTTTCGAATTAGCAATATATGGTATTTTTATCTTCAACGGCGATTATCTTAAAATTTTAATTAAAATTTCATCTAAAAATTTTGAGCTAAACCGGCTGATTATTTTACTGTAAGTCAAGATCAACTAAAACTACAACCCATCAAAAATGAAGATAGGTCTTCAAGCTAAATTGAGAAAATCGCCAATAAGATAGTAAAATAAAGGGTGACCAAAACGCGGTGTTTTCATGTATCGTTTAAAATCATTTCTTTCATTATTACCAATCAATATGGACTGAGAGAGCTGTAAATTACATCTTTGTATTTTGCCCAAAAAAATGACCGCAAGCCCCCAAATTGAACAATTATATCTTCTCAATGAATTTTGTGATCCCTATTTTTTCATTTCGTAAAAACATTTCGACAAAAATTGCACGATCGCATATCCTTAATAAATTCGAAGAAAATTGATGGATGCCAAAAGAAGAAGAGAAAAATCTGATAGAAAATGGCTAAATATTTTACCTCTTTGACGCATTCTGTACCAGTTCCATAGTCCTTCTGAGGTAAGGTAGTGCCACGTGAATAATCTCGGTCCCAGTAATATTGTGAGGCGCAAAAATATGATTTAAGTGCTTACTCCAATTGAACTAGAAAAGAAAAAGATTCTTTAAATCCTAATTCTAACGATGAAGTCTATTTTCTCGTTTGGGTTGGTAGGGCTTTACAGGTTTCACCAACAGTTCGTTGACATGTCCCTGATCAACGCAAGAGCATTCGACGTTTGGCAAACGTCAAATGGGCACGCAAATATGAAATAGCCGGTAATCTTACCAAGAGGAAAGTTCGTGGTAACACGACCAGCAACTTGATGGCAATGATGTTATCATCATTTTGATCAATGAAATGCCTCTTTTGTTTTACCTCTGAATGGAATTCTACGATGTGTGAGTACTGGCTTTTCTAGTGCCATAGTCTTGCTTCTGGCAAAGGTTGCTACGTGTTGCTACATACTAGGATCTCTCTCTCTCTCTCTCATACCTCTCTCCACCGCTGCGCCGTGGGTATAATGACGGTCCTTAAGAATAGAAGGGGTGCAAGCGAGGTTGGTCGACGGCTCGATATGTTATGCAAATTACTGTACAGAATGATAAATAACGTCAATATACATACTTGTGGTACTTCCTGCTGTAATTGATCAAGTGTCAAATTCCTCATTGGATTTTCATCAGGATCAGTCAAACCCTAGCAGATTGAATTTTACAATGATCAGTATCATTATTACTAAGTATTGTTAAGCATACGAAGTAACAAAACTACACTAACTTCTTTAAGTTTGTTCTGAAAGTCGAGAAGCTCTTGTACTTTAATTGCGATGCTCCTGTTTCCGCCCAAAAATTTCACCACATCAGTGATGTATTTCTTTTCAGCTGCAGTTCTCTAAAAAGTCAAAATATCTGAATGAATTGGGGAATCGATAAATCAACATCTTAGCTATTTTTGCCATTTGATTTGCAATTCGATAGACACTGTAGAAAATATGATGACTTTTAACTTAAAAGAAGGGCAGGAGCAGCAACAACAATAACAGCAAAGTTAGTATTGTCTAGCACTAGCACTCGTGGTGCTCCATGTTTCGCGTCCCAAGTGTGACAAGCACTCGTAACTCAGTACAGTAACTCAATACAATTATTAGACATTTTACATACTTGTCTAATAATATGTTTCGCGCAATAACGAAATACATGTTACTTACGTTTGCCGCCTTTTGAGGATCTTGTTCTTCATATTCAAGCTGATCGATCTGTATCAAGGAGATAAATAATACACTAGCATTAAACACCAATCATAACTTTCAGTTATTTGGACATGCGCCGGTTCCCTTTCTTCTGCTACTTACATAGATGGAATATGGATCAGGTTTCTGTTTGGTGTGGGCGTATAAGGAAAATAACGGCCCTCCCTTAGACTGGTAGTTCTTGTGAATGAAGCCAATTGTTGTATTGAAGTTCCAGCTATCCTCGTTCCAGATTCTGTCTTCTTCCACCATGCTCCAGCCTCCCAAATCATTGATCCGTTCCTTCAAAGGTTGCACACCAACATTGTCAATGGCTTTCTGATTCATACACGATTGGTACAAGCTTAAAGGCAATTTAACGAGACTTTTTTTCGCTCCCTTGATTGTTATCGATATTTTCCCTGTTTCTAAAATATCTGTCAAAAACCTTTTCTTTTTATCTTTAATTTCGTCACTTATCTCGTAGAATGAAAAAGGTTTACGATTTGGCAATGTAGTGTTTTGCAGCCATCTCCCACAAGCGTACTCATAAAAGTCATCACAAGGGTCTACAGTAGTGTTCATCGAACTTTTGATTCGTTTGGCTGCCTTAATACATTCCGTGGTGTTACAAACCCTGCTAGATTGGTTGTTATTTTGGCCTGTTGTCTTGACATATCTTGGGGATCGAATCTTGTTCAAACCTTGATCAAGAGTACTCATCTTGTTCTGACTTGCTGCTACGTGGATCATGGATATCACCAGTAAGATTGTCAAGAAACGAGGACCATGGATTAACAACCATTGCTTATTTTCTTGCCTCCCAACGCTGCCACCATTCATCATTCTTTTCATCACGACTACACTGTAGGCTGATCGATGTAGTTGATGTTTAAATAAAGTGTTTTTTATTAATTGCGTGTTGTTCTCTACCGGTAAAAAAAACCGTATTTTAACCAACCTGCTCAAAAATATTTTACGGTGGCTGACTACTTTGGGAAAAAAAACGAACAGAAAATTGAAAATTGAAACTCCTTTAACCTGAAATGTAATGCTGATTCCAAATATGAAAAGAAAAAGGAAGTGTCCCGAGGTCGTTTTTGAGATAATCAGCATTTAATGCATACCTACGCGCGAGTTTTTGGAGCAAAAATTGCGTCACACGTGATCAGAAAAAAAATAAAGATTCATAAGATAATGGTTCTTTGTAGACTCTTAGATTGCACAAATGACCCCTAGCGTATTATTCTACAATAATACGTGGTTTGTTATTTGTCATAACATGAACCGCTAACAGAAGGTCTCTATGACCGCCAGCTAAAAAAGCATCGTCTGAACGACAAAAATTGTTAAAGTGGATATTTAAATTGTCTTTCCATTACGACAGAAAACTACCTTCTTAGTTCCCTCGGTTTATTAGATAACAGCCAAATAATTTTGAAAATCCGTAATATTCATGATTCAATATCTCGACAATGAGCGCTTGAAATCACATTTTTCTTTTCTTTATTTTCAACGTTAAATTCTGTAAAATATAGTTTTCCAAGAAAGTTTTTGTTTATTGCTACAGTAGTCAGTCACCTTAAAATATGAAATTTGTATATTGTGTTGTTCAGTTATTTGTTGTTCTCTCATTGATTTGTTGGATCTCAATATACCTGTTAAAAAAGCACCGTCTCAGACGATATTTCTCTTCAAGTTTTAAGTGTGCATTTCCAAATATTTGACAGAACGCATGTTTTTTTTACGCACGTGTCTATTGTGTTTAGGTTAGATATTAATTAATCGTTACAGTGTACCTGTTATAAAAAATTATTAAACTAATTAATAATTCATGAGGAAAACACAACAGAAATCACGACCGTGAAGAGTTTTGTAAATCAGATACAGAATCCTGTTCATTTGCATAAACTTTAAGATGGATTTTCTTGGGCAAATTCACTTTTATCTTGAAAATTTTAGCGAAACACAAAGGAACTAACCTAGACGTTTGATAAGTAATCTACAGTATGAGTGTCCGTGTTGTATCCAATATACAAACTCGAGGCGTAGCCGAGAGTTTGTATATCGGATACAACACGGCCACTCATACTGTATATATTACTTAAAGAGTTTTCCATCTTGTTTATCGCGAACGTGAAAGTTAACGTCAAATGACGAGATAATTTTTTTTACGATGGGTAAAAGGGAATCCCAAAAATCTCGAAGTTATACGAAAGATTATTTGTTTTTGATGAGTGTGTTTGCAAAAGGTCAATAAAAGTGAAATACGGAAACAGGGTCTTATCTGCCCATTGCGGGGAAAAAAGTAATGCCAAATCTGTCTAAAAAGGCAGAGTGTAAACTACAAGAAGGAAAAATATATTGCCTTCTCTTTTTATTACAGCTATATAGGACTTTATGTCCGTCTAACTTACGCACGACTCTTTAAGCATATTTTTCAATAAATAATTTTGTTAGAATTATTATAAAATACAAGAATTAAAATCATTATTGATTTCTTAGCGTAATAGTCCCCTTCACGGTTCCCTGCGCCATATTGAAAGGTAGCCGGGCCTTTATATATATATATATACCTATATATATTTCAGTTATTTGTTTTCGCGTGAGTATAAAACAAGGGTTTCATCTTGCCTGTAAATCAAAAATCGCCCTGAAAAATCTTCGAATTTTTAAAACGATTTTTTTTTCGACTCTCCATTGCGACAAAAAACCATCTGCTTCAGTTATCGTATAGACTTGCCTAGATCCCTGTGGTTATTGGTTCATAGACAATTTTTTTTTGAAATATCAAGTACATTCCTTCCTACACAAAACCTAACAAGCGAAATTCTAATTTGACCTGCGAGTTAGCCGTGCCCTGGCTTTGATCAGCAGAGACGCTGTTTCAGGGTATTGATAAAATTTGAGTTTTTTTTTTTTTTGTACAAATGATTAATTTTTGGTTTTGATTAGAATGCATTGCGAATTCACAAAAATTAGATAGTGTACTGACCGCCCAGTACTGACCGGAAGATTAATTGAAACAAGACAATAAACATGCTTGACATTGATCAATTTATTCAATAATTATGAACTTCTTTATTTAATAGAGGTTTTGCACCATTACGTGACGGTAGCCATGTTAGATGGCAGGAACAATACAATCGTTTTACATGAGAAAGAATTCAGTTCCCGAGAGCACAGAGATTTTATTGTTCTCCCATCTAACCATAGGCACCGGCACATGATGGTGCAAAACCTCTATACCAAGCATATCCGGCGATTATAGGTTGGAGCGTTACAAGTATTAGTTTCAACACGGGACCACACTGTTAGTCCAATATTACTTCTCTGCTCCAGAGATAGCAAGTTTTAACACGGGAGCACATTGTTAGACTAGTTCAATGTTCCTTCTTTACTCCAAAGATAGCATTTGTTTAGTGGATTCATTGGGCTGTTTTTCTTGCACTTGAATGTATTGGCGAACTCACATGAATTTGCCAACGGACCAATAACCCTGGTGAAGAAGAGAACATGTGTCTTTTAAATAGGACTCTTTTTTAGCAAGCTGGTGCTGCTTAATAGGACGGATGGTCGCCTTCGAGGTTCATTGCACTATTAATTCCCCCAACACATGACAGTAAATACAAAAACAATAGTGTGTGGAATAATGGCGTATAGCATAGATACTGTACTCCAGTAAAGGTCATGTACAAACATTTAGATCCACTGCCTGGCAACGAGAGATCCGAATCCAAGTCCAATCCAATCCCGGCCCAAACAACGGTTTCGGCAGCGCGAGGTCACATGTAAAAGGTCCTTATTATATTTAGGGTTACCATTGTAGTGACGTTCAAACAGGGGGCACAAGTATAGTTCTGTGAGTCTATGGGGCAAAGGATGACCTGAATAGTGTGCTTCCTTACCCATCCTTTTATTTTACATCATTAATTTAAATAGTTGGATTTACATTATTTATTAGTCAAAACTGTCCTCTATATGCAGTATTCTGTATAGGTGATCACGAATTACGACAAAAGCTGATAAACTGTCACATATAGCTACGAAATTCTCTTCAAATATGGTACTCTATCTCACTTAAGTTATTTTAAGACCCTGTGTGTTTATCTAGCCGAGGCTTGAGCCACAACCTCACGAACAAAAGTACGATGCTCAACCAATAGTGCAAACCGAGCGGAGGTAAATTTACTGATTATTCAAATAATGAACAGACCTGAATTTGTCATCTGGATGAGATCCACTAAGACTCATCTGTTCTCTGCGTGTAAGGGTAGATGAACTACATCTGTTCTGAATAAAGCAATATAAAAATGGGCAAGTCATTGAGTATCTTCTAATACTAGTCTCAGAAAAGTACTGATAAAGAAATGAAGCCTGTACATTAAAGAGGGTCGAAAATAAAAGTAGAAAAACCTTTATGAACTCATGTCCTCAAAGAGAGAGTGCTGCCATAGGTACCGACAGAGAAGTACTCTTTAAATACTCCCCTTCACAGTTCCATCTTGAAAGGTAACCGTGCCTTTGCATCGAAGCGAGACGAACGGTGAGCTTGTAATGATAGAGACTTTTTTTAAACAACTTGAACAATTATTTACATGTGTCTATCATTGCAAGCTCACCGTTCGTCTCGCTTCGATCACAGGCACGGTTACCTTTCAAAATGGCGCAGGGAACTGTGAAGGGGAGTATTGAACAATGTTGTATTTACAAACAGGAATACGCTTTACTAACCTGAGCAAATCCAATGTAGAAGAGCTGCTCATTAGTGAAATTCAGTCCTGGTAGCAGCCATGCCTCACTGGGATTTTGCTTTACCCAGTTGTAATAATCCTGAATAATATATACCAATTAAAAACGGGTACGAACAAAACCCACTAAAGGCAGAAAAATGAATTACCACATCTACAAAAGAACATTTATTCATCATACTTGTTGTAAAATATGGCAAGATTTTTATGACCTTTCTCACGTGGTAAGTAAGTATGGATTTTTTAACCGTTAAAATCGAGGCCGATACTTATCAGGGGCTCATCGTAAGTTGCTCGGCGCAGAAAACTGGGGTTAAAGGAGTATTTCGTGATCACTGACCCCGTGCGTCCCTGCTCCCCGAACAAGGGACGCATGATGTTCTATTTCAACACTTTATATTGTTATTAAACAAATTCATTTGTCTTACCTTGAGTGCTATCTTTAAAGCACCGTTGTCTGTAACAGTTTCATCAGCTGTATCTTTTACCCTGATCTAACAACAAAATATTTATTGTTATCATGGTTACAAATACATATTATTACTTAAAAGATTGATGGCTAGCTGGTTTAAATGTCTCGATTAATTCTTACACATCATTTTCCTAAAATACTGTACACGGAGTGTTTTATTTTCTACTACCTATAGACCCCTTCTTCCAGCGCTTTGGAATGCAGCTCAACCTGGGGGACAAAACAATAAGTTCCAATTCTAGGATTTTTTTTGTCCCCTAGATGGAGTTGCTTTGACGTCACCATGCAAGGGGTCTATAGGCACCAAATTCTAAAACGGACTCCAGCGACGAGTAATAGATTGCTTTCAAAATATGGCTTACTGCTCTAAATATTATCGTTTAATCCCTATTTTCCTATGTACATCATTATTTAAAGGTTAGAGACACAACTCGTTTGAAATCTTCCATTAACTCTTACAGGCCATTTTCCTAATATCTTGTACGCGGAGTATTGCTCTTCGTAGCATTTCACTCTTTTATTAAACCCTTTAAGAGATTTTCTTGACCACCAGTTTCTAGTTTTTCCTTCCTGGTCATAGGGTCTACCTGTGGGGAAAAAAATGAAAAAATTCATGATCTCTACTTTGAAAACAGCTATTTGTAAAACTTTACCTGTCGGATTTAAAATCCATTTTCAAGCTAAAAAATAAATAAATAAAAATAAATAAAAATTAAATTCCGATTTTTCGTACAGAGGAAATGAATTTGTATGGCAAATTTGAAGGTAATCGTATTGTTAACGTTCGTTGTACACCTATTTTGTTTGGATGTTTTTTTCTACAAAAACAAATTAAATTATCCGTGGAGAATAATTGCATGCTTTTGATTAGTTTTAATCGAGAATGTTTTAATTGGGGTCGACGATGAAAGACTTACCGGCAGGGCTAAAACCATGCATGATTTCGTGAGCAACAACTGAACCTAAGTTGCCCAAGTTGTAAGCTCTGTAATAATAATGATAATATTTCAATCTTTAAACTAAATATTAACTAAATTAAGCTGAAATTGTATTAAAGAAAAAGTATATAGTTAAGTTCCTTTGGCTGTGATGAAATTTATTATTCTTAAAAATTGACTTTGGACGGTAGATTAGATGACTTTATAGAGCTACTGTTACTGTTTTAAAGCCTTGCTAATCGATTTCACCTTGAAGTCCCAAAGATCATTCCAAGTTGTGAAGTTTGTAAAGACTTCCGGAACCACTTTTCAATCAGCGCTTAACAAGGGCGGATCCAGAAAAAAAATTAGGGGGGGGGGGGGGGGTTGACAAAACTGTCAATGTTGCCATATTACGTCGAAATTCTCTTTCACAAGGCATGCGTCCTTCATCTTTTGATTCTATTTCGTAGCTCAGCCGAGGGCTCAGTTNGGGGGGGGGGGCTAATTAAGTTTCTTCCGCCAACACAACAGAAAACAATATAAAAAGCATCGTTTTTTTTTCTGCTGAAGGGGGGGCTTCAGCCCTCCTTTGCCCTCCCCTGGATCCGCCCTTGCTTAAAAGTAATTCAATTCTCATTGTCTGCACAAAGTAATGGTAAAACGCTAGGGCGAGGGTTTGAATTGAAATTCAAGACCGAGGACCGAGTTACCTTACCTTAGGAACTTATTAGGAAAGAAGAATGGCGGCTGAAGAATAACTGCTGGGAGAGCTTTATTGAGCAAAAAAAGAAAATATTTCAGTGTAAATTCAATTTTTAAAAATTAGATTAGATATTACTCACTCAATGTATTTGTCAATATATCGTATTGGGCATTGTTGTTGAGAGGAGATGCACGCCATCTGAAAAAATGTTATCACAAAGCATATTTTTGGCAATCCCCAAATCTTTATGAACAACTAAAAAAAAAAAAAACTCGTATATTTATATTTCACATAATGTATATAACATAGTCATTTGCCTCTATTGGAATTTAAAATTGCTTGTAAACAATGTTAAAAGCTGATGCACCTCCAGTTTTCTAAATTAAAAACCATGCATCCTTCGGCCACCCTCCCATCATCCCACGCGGTATTATATGATCTGTCCTTAATAAGCTGTTGTACTTACATCGTAAGATCTATAGGCTTCATGAATTTTTTGAGCATTTGTTGACGTTCTTGCTTTAAGATAGACACTTTGTTTTTGAAATATGTTCCTCTTGTGATTTTTAGCTGGCAAAGGAAAAAGGTGTCTCTATTGACTCTTCATATAAGATGGACACTTTGGTTTTTGAAATATGTTTACCTTCTGATTTTTTTTTTCTGTAAAGGAAAATGGTTTGATGCGCTGCGTGGTGCCGGATCCTCTTCTAGCTCACGGCTGGACGCGTGCGTTTGAGATGGTGATTTTTAGCCAATCAAATATAATCATACCACTTAGATTCGAGTGTGAGGTTCACGATTGGCTAATATTCTAGCTTGCATTTTTGAGGGAGAAATAGACTTTCCACTTAAAAAATCCGTGAAAGGATTTTTTGAACATAAGTGCAAACCAAACAAATAACTTTAAAATGGTAGCTACAGTTGCTAAAACAATAATTTTAGTAAACTTTAAACTTTAATCCGAGCTCAGACTGAATTCAAATCCGCAACGTTCGTTTCATTAATGAAAGCTTCAAAGCAGGATGGAAATCAAACTTCGAATAATGAAATGGAACCTTGATAGGAACGCATGAGCTGGTTTGACTGTGTGTAAGAGAGAAAAGCCATTAAAGCACGCGTTCGTTCGGTTCAATCCAAGAGAATAAAATGTACTTACACCTCTGTACTTTTCGAATATCTTAGAGAGTTTTTTGCTGTCCATCATGTAAGCAGGAAAGCCGATCTTTGCTTTCACGGCGTCAATCTGTAAACGAAAAATGCACGGATCCTCACAGATTGAGCCCTGAAACAACCCATGGTGGAGCGATCTCAGTCAGGACACGGCTTCTCACAGAAACCTGAACTGACAATCTCAGGACTGATTTAAGTGAGGGCATGGCCAGGAGGGAGGGGGCGTCTCTATCGTTTCTGGCCTCGCTGGTCTGGACAGCGTTGTTCTCATAAATTTAGCACGACACTACTATAGCGTTCGTTGTCTTTCAAACCCCAAAAACTTTGAAGGTATCGATATGGAGTTTCAGAAGACAAATGTTCTATTTTGAGGTTGATTTTGATGCTATTTTAAAAATAAGACATTGAAGCTAGACGGCCATTCACAATAGTCCCCTTCACAGTTCCCTGCGCCATCTTGAAAGGTTACCGTGCCTTTGCATYGAAGCGAGACGAACGGTGAGCTTGCAATGATAGATACCTTTATTTAACACCTTGGGCAATTATTAACAGGTCCCTATCATTGCAAGCTCACCGTTCGTCTCGCTACGATGCAAAGGCACGGCTACCTTTCAAGATGGCGCAGGGAACTGTGAAGGGGACTATTGTACAGAGTGCTGAAGACATCTTTCTTAGTTTATGCTCCTAAATCATCGAAGATATCTGTAGAATAACTCGTAAAACATTCTACAATAAGTAAACTTTGTGTTGATGCTAAAACAAGACAGATAATCCTCGTAATAAGAGTATTTTGACCCTTTAAATTCCGGGCAACATTTTGAAAATCAGAGAGCTGGAACTGAGAGACATCATAAACATAAACAACACTGTTCCAGCAATTTTCCCTAGAGACGGCCCCCTCCTTCCGGTGACTGGCTACTGTGCGCACAGATCATTGTTCCACTTCATACGGTATTACGTTACTTACCTTTTGCAATACTTCACTTCTAGTGCCATTATCTAGCCATGTAAGTGAGTTGACGTTATCTTTAAAAGCTTGAATCGCTCCACTAAAGATCCTTTTAGTCTTTATACATAAAATGTAGTATTTTAGACATGACTAAATAAAACGAGTCAGAATGAGTTATGAGTCTAAGGCTCATCTGCGTGGTATAAAAAATTGCTTAGCATATATGGTTTTAAAACAAATCCAAAAAATAGGCGCTCAATAAGCGCATGTGGTTTCTGCCATAAGAAATTATTGTCATACAGGAAAGGAATGGAAGTTGGTAGCTGACTATTGAGATATATGAAGGATATATAGGTAAATGAAATAGCGGTGTTGCTGAAAAAAATATAAATGTTGAAAGTAAAGGTTTCAGTATAGGTCTTTATTAAATGTTGATATTGATTAATTTGGGCTTCCTGTGTTATGCCGATTCATTTTGTGCAACTGTTGCGTGACAAATTGGCGATCATATTTTGAGGAACGTTTTCCCGGGACGTTTTCCTCGTTTTCTCGATGAAAAAGCCACAATGTTCTCCCAGACTTAGACCAATTTTCCCTTGAGGTCTCTTCTACTTCATATGGGAATCTGTTTTGGCGATTAACAGGTATAAGTTATGAAAATATGTGCTTTAGTTATTTACTTGATAGTTTATACGTGTCAAAGCAGCTTGATCTGGGGGACAAGACAAAATAATTTCAATTTCCTGAGAATTGGAACCTATTGTTTTGTCCCCAGATTGAGCTGCATTCCAAAGTGCTGCACAGGTCTATATCATCGCGGCTTTTATTATTACTCTTCTGTGCAATGTGCTAGAATGCTAATCACTTACCATTCTAGTTTTACTTGTAAGTTGTGCATAGTGTTCCTTAATATATGCAACTGCTATTACATCACCAAAAGATTTTTCAGTTTGACCAACACATTTTTTCGAAAGCTCTTCGTCAGATGTAGTACCCGTTGTTGCTTGATTGTACTCTAGCTGAGCCTTCCTGAAACTAGCAGAAAGCCAGTTGACTTCGGTTCTTATCACGAACCATACCATATAATTGGCCAGTACCCTGAAAACAAAACAAAACGAGATGAATCAAGCTACTTTCATGTCACTGCTTCAAATAAGATAGTAATAATAATTCAAAATTTCGGGGCGGATTCAGATTTTTATCGAGGGGGTTTCCATTGTCATTAGTCTGTAATTAGCTCGGTGTCGTATGTGAGTTGAGTTGTTTGTTGGTTCTCTCCTGTGCTTTGAGGGTTTTTCTCCGCGTTCTCCGGTTTTCCTCCCTCCGCAAAAGCCAATTTCTAAATTCCAATTCTATCTTGGGCTTTTACCTAACATGGATCTGAGGGTTCCGTTCGTGATTGTCCCACTCTGTGATCACAGCCAAAACTGGTAGATTAGATTAACGTCATCATGGCCCGAAACCCTGTATTTTATAACGCATCGTATTTCTCAATTAAGCCTCCGAGGGCTTATTATTTTTAAATGCCTTTGAACAACAGGTAGTTCATTAGAAGGAGGTCTTAATTAGAGGCTTTTTTTATAAAAAATATTATTCATAATCCCAACAGGGAAAACGCAGACTTTCAGAGGACTGCCAAGGGAAAAGCTCAAAGGACCAAAATGTTTCTTAGGGTTCTTAGAGATTAGGGCATACTTTAGATAAATGAGGCTAATTTTGGCGCTTCAGTTTGGGAGCTTATCAGATGAGGAGGGGGGGAGGGGGGGGGCTTATTAGAGGTTTGGGGCTTAATAGAAAAAAGACGGCATGAATGTTGGTTGTTATTATTCTCTTTGGGGATACAGTACAACCCTGTATTGGGCTCTAATTCTATCAACATTATGGAGCGTACCTCTTAGGTGTTTTCTGTACTATTTTCATAGCCTTCTTTAGGTAGGACAGCGCAGGCCCATAAATTAGCTCGCTTTCATTAATCGTAGATGATGATGGTGATGCATACAGAACATTAAAGTAATTAATCCAGTCGAACTAAAAGAAATTATAAAATAACTGTTCTAATTCTAGTGTTCTGATTGGTTGGCATAGTATGTGGTAGTATGACGTATGTATGAAAACGGTGGTCCACTTTAGCTCGATCACGTTTTCCCATTTCAGTCCACATGCCGGCATCGTTTTACTTTACCCAGAAATAAAGAAAAATCAAGATTTTTTATCCGGAGCTAAGATTTTTTCCAGGTTCTTAAATTTAAATTTATTATTCGAAATTTCAGTAACTTTCCGGATATTGTTTTTAGAGCTCTTCAAAAAAACCTTAAACTTTTTCATTATTTGGATAGGTTGTATTTACGACAAAGCAGACTTCAGTTATTAGGAATAGAGGCCAGGACTAAACCACAAATTACCTCAGGCACTTCTCGTTGAAGTTCAATAAGAGTTATATTGTTGTTAAGGAATTTGTCTATTTCTCCACTTGTTAAAGATACCTAAAAACATAAGACAAAATATGAGTGTAAATTCGACTAGAAACCTACACAATTTTGCACCTTTCTGCTTCAACCATAAAGATGAGGTATTAATGATCATAAAAACGTCACTCACGTCTGCAAGCTGGGCTTCAAAACTAATCAACTCGTCTACTTTCTTGGCTGTGGTGTTGACGTTACCACCCAACAAATCCACCACATCAATGATCAGCTCTCTGTATGCTGACATTGCCTAGAAAGAAATATTCCGTAAAAATTGATTGTAGAAAATGAAGGAGAAGTAACACATTTTGTTATCACATTAACAAGAAAAGTATTTTACCTTTGATGATAGATTAAGGTATTCTTCTTTCTTTAGGGCTGGTCCAGCTTGAAGAATCTACGGGATCAGAGGAATAAACTACTAATCAATCATTAATTAAACTATTTACAAGAAAAAGAAAACAATATAGCAGCACGATTGAGGACGTTTACGGATACAATCTTTGAAATTTTCAGCTTTTATATTCATTTTGGTTAGCAGTAAAAGGTTATAGACATTTGATATTCCAACTCATAAATACGATACTTACAGCGAGAGCTTTCTTAGTTTTATTGTTTTCGTCTGGTATGCCTCCCGTCAAAAACAGAGGCCCGTCCTTGATAATTTTATGAATAGAAAGAAGGGTTTTGTTAAAATCCCACGTATCCTCGTCCCAGTCTCCACTCATGTCCCAGCCTCCCAACTCTCTAATACGTTCCCTCAGAGGTGCGGCACCAAGATTGTCAATGGCCTTTAAGTTCATGCATGACTTGTACAAATCGGATGGCATTTTCTGTATTGTTTTACTTATTCCGCTGACTTCTTTCGTTGAGTTTTCTAATTTCAATTTTTTGTATTCGTTCATTTTCAAATGTGCCACATCAAAAAGAGACAAATAAGAGTAGCCGCTCGGTAATGGGTTGATAAACGACCAGCTCCCACAAGCGTACTCATAAAAGTCATCGCAAGGGTGTACATTCAGGTTCATCGAACTTTTGATTAGTTTGGCTGCCTTAATACATTCCGTGGTGTTACAAACCCTGCTAGATTGGGTGCTAGTTTGGCCTGTTGTCTTGACATATCTTGGTGATCGATTCTTGTTGAAACCTCGATCACGAGTACCCATCTGGTTCTGACTTGCTGCTACGTGGATCATGGATATCACCAGTAAGACTGCTAAGAAACGGGGACCATGGATTAACGACCATCTCTTGTTTTCTTGTCTCCCACCGCTGCCACCATTCGTCATTCTTCCCATCACGAATACACAATTTTTTGCTGCGTGTCTGTTATGATAGTTGCTGTTCTCATCAAAGAGTATTACCAGAACTGTAGGCTGTTTGATCTAGTTGATGTTTAAATAAGCCTTTTTTAATTAATTACGTCTTTTTCTCTACCGGTAAAACAAACCTGTCTTATTCTACCTGTTCTTAAGTACTTTTCATTTTTCTCGAATTCGATCATTCGAAGTAACTTGTCATAGTATCTTTTGATTGTTGTATTCTAATCTATGAAACGGCACTACATTTTGGTTTAGTTCTTGATTTTTCTTGGCGTAAATCCTTCATTAACCCTTCCTGGCCACTTATTTGTTTCATGCACATTTAATGGGGCTTTTGGATTTTGAGAAACTCAGTAGGATGTAACCTATCAAAATGTAATATGATTTGATAACTTTCTTTAATAATTTTAATAATATATGAGCTACATTGCTGTTTTTCGTGTGTAGTGTTCGTTCTGACAAATCTGAACTTTCAAGAAATTAATACCAGTATCAGTAAAATCAATATAATTGTAGTGTCAGTACAAATGCAGTGTTACGTATTCCTTAGTTGAGAAAAGGAAGGAGGACGACTCAATAAATGTCTTTCTGTAAGGAAGGGGCCGGCTTAGAGAGATTGGGATCTTAAAAGAGGATTTGTGTTTTTGAAAATCTCCTGTATACCAGTGATGCCATTATTTATCTTTTTGATTTTTTTATTGCATAGAAAACTTAAACAGTTTTATTAACACTCACTTGATTCCTCAATGAATTATATTAAAACCAAAATTTTTTGAATGATCAAATAACTAAATTTTTTTCAAAATTTTCTCCCTGATTTAATTGATATAAAACGTTTGAGTTATTGTTCGTTACGTGAGACCAACACAAGGCTAAGATCTCATCGATCCTACCTGTTAATCCTCAGTAACAATATAGTCTAAGTACTAGACATGGTGTCCAAATTTCTTCTTCATATGTAAAGCACCTTGTTCCCTGTCTTTGACTTGTATTCACTGTCAGTTATGTTACACTTTAATTTCCCTTTAAGTATACCTGTTAACAAAACGCACTTCAAGGTTTCACAACAACGTTTCGTGAAAATATTGTTTGTCTTTCCTTCGACACATAAAACTTCAGCTGTTCCAAAACGACCATATTAGATCATTGTCTATTAGTTTTAAATGATCAAAATACGCCTCACGCTACACTACTTACAAAATACATTTCATAAAGTTTCCTTCTTGCTTGAGATTGAAATAAACTGTTTCAGTTATCTGTCATTGCTTGAGGTAAACATAATTATCTCATCAGTCTTACTATAAAAAGCATCGTCTTGGCGACAAATCTTCTTGATATATATTTCTAAGTACTTATACAGTATGAGTGGCCGTGTTGTATCAGATATACAAACTCGAGGCGTAGCCTAGCGTTTGTATATCGGATACAACACTGAAACGAATACTGTAGATTGCTTGTCAAACGTCTAGGTTAGTTCCTTTGTGTTTCACTAACATTTTCAAAATTAAAAGTGAACCTGGCCAAGAAAATCCAACTTAAAGTTTATGCAAATGAACACAATTTTGTATCAGATTTACAACACTCTTCACGGTCGTGATTTCTGTTGTGTTTTCTTCATGAAGTATTTTAAAATGAGTTTGACAATAGAAAACTATCATCTGTCCTGGGCGAGCCTAGATCCATCGGTTCCATATATTAGATCATAGCCAAACATTTGGAAAATCAAATAGACAATTCAAAAAACTTTCTAGCATTGAGTTAGTTAGATGTTGTTTCGGTGAGATAACAGAAAGATATCATTTAGTTTTTCTGGAATTGATGAAGGGACTGGAAACGAGTGTAAAAATATAAATTTAATTAAAAAAACAAACCCCATCAAATGAACTATCATACTAAAGTCATCAATCTTATCGATTTTTAAAATGTTTGGGCAATTACTGATCATTTCTTAATTAGATTAATAGCGGAGTTGATAATTTTTTAAATATATTTACATGTTGAGGTTGATTCA